ATTGTTAACGGCAAAACTTCTTACGGCATTTTTTCTATTTGTATACTTAAAGATTTTTGGGGGATGTTTAAATTAGAATAAGTTTTATTTAACTACTATTTTAAAATATTTTTCCTTTTAATTTTTAATAGACTATGTTTCTTTTTAAAACAAGTTAATGTAATAGAATTACTTCCAGTATATGAAATTATTTTTCCATATCAAATATAACTATGTATATTACCAGGTCACATTTTGTTTTTAAGATTTTATTTTTCAAAATATTATCTAAGGAAAATTTTTTGACAATGATAGCAAAAAATAGCTATTTCATTTCTCTGATTCAGTAAATTTTTAATTTTTTATATATAAACCTAGTAATATATAGTTTCTCATGTATGCACAAAGGACATGGGTCATTTATTGGCTTACATATTTTAGCTTTTCTTATTAGTTTCTATTTTACTTTGGGTGTTTTGTTGGATTCTTTTTAGTGTCAGAAGTACTTTGAGAGATATGTTTAGGTTAGAATTCGTTTTATTTTATTCAACCACAATTTTAAAGGATGTTTAGCTTAGAATACGTTTTATTTTACTACAATTTTAAAATATTTTCACTGTTAATTTTAAAAGAGTATATTTCTTTTTAAAACAAGTATATGTAATAGAATTATTTATATTATATAAAATTAATTTTTGATATCAAATATAAGTATGTATATTACCAGGTCAGATTTTTTTTATTTTATTTTTAAATATTATTTAAGGCATATTTTTGACAATGACGGCAAAAAATAGCTATTTCATTTCTCTGATTCAGTAAATTTTTATTTTTTAGAAATTTAGTAATATATAGTTTCTCATGTATGCACAAAGGACATGGGTCATTTAATGACCTACATATTCTAGCTTTTCTTATTAACTTCATTTTACTGTAGGTTTTTTTATATATATAGGTGTGTATATATATATATATATATATATATATATATAGTGTCATATATATATATATATATATATATATATATATATATATATATATATATATATATATATCAATAAAAAGGTGCAAATATAATTTATAAATTCATGAATCATTCATAAAAAACAAATATAGAGGTTAATGATTTAAATGGCGAGAATACTTCGTCGCAAACAATATAAATAAGATACATCAACCCCGAACCTGTATATGAATGATATGATCCCTGTTCATAAATTCCAGTTGCATAAGGTCTTTTTAATTTTTTACAAGCTTTCGTCTGTTCCTACAGACATTATCAGGTATGGAAGTAGATTTTGTTCTTGTTTGTACTTCTCAGTAATAAGAGGACAATGAAAATAGAGATGTAATCTGAAAAAATGCTATGAGAAATGTGTTATTGTTTTGGAACGTGCGGTCGCAACGCTGAGTTTGAATTTAAATTTTAAGGTTGTGCGTTTTTGTACAAATATAGTAATAAGAGAATTATTTTTTACTGGTAGATTTTCCGTCAATATGGCATGAACTATATTGTTCAATAATTACAGTAATGTCACACTTATTATCCGAGAGTTGCACGTTGGATCAGTTATTTTAATTTCAATTAAAAGGTGCAAAATATAATTTATAAATTCATAATCATTCATACAAAAACAAATATAGAGGTTAATGATTTAAATGGCGAGAATACTTAAATGCAAACAATATAAATAAGATACATCAACCCGAACATGTACATGAAGGTTGATGTATCTTATTTATACACGAAAGTATTCGCCATTTTCATTAACCTCTATATTTTTTGTATGAATGATTCATGAATTTATATATATATATATATATATATATATATATATATATATATATATATATTACTGGAGTATTTAGCATAATATATTTTTCTGCTTCGAGGAGCACCAAACAAACCGTAACAGATGGTACCCCACTGGGTAAGAGAACAACAGCAATTAAGAGGTTCCAAGCTCCTCAAAACCTCCAGTCTCCCGATTCGAGGACTTGCTGCCGGATGTAGTTTATCGTCATACCAAGAACTAAGAATTCAGAATTTCATTTCCTTAACTCCTTTACTTAATTTGTTTTAGGTGATCCATACACAGAGGTATTTGTATTGATTAGAATTTATTAATTCTACATACACAAAGTGAATTGAAGGTCGTTCACAACGGATTCTCCTCCAGTTCCTACCCCACGAACGCAGGAGTTCCTCAAGGCTCCATCCTAGGCCCCACTCTATTCCTTATCTATATAAATGACCTTCCTGACGCCGTAACTTCTCAAGTCGGCATCTACGCGGATGACACCACAATTTATTCCTGCCTCAAAAACAAATCTAGTCTCGCTGACAAAACTCACCTTGCCGTGCGCCTCGAAAAGGACCTCCAATCGATTGTGAACTGGGGCAAGATTTGGCTGGTCAACTTCAACGCTTCGAAGACTAAACTGCTCTCTATTAATCACCACAGAGAGCCTTCCCTTCCCTCCATTTTAATGTCTGACGCTCAACTTCCCGAGAGCAACTCTCTGCGGCTTCTCGGTCTCACGTTGACTGCTGACCTGAGATGGAATAAATACATCAAGTCAATTGCCTCGTCCACTGCGAGGAAAGTTGGCTCCCTGAGCCGTGCTAGGAAGTTTTCTCCCCTGAGTCGATCCTCCAGATATACAAATCCACAATTCGCCCTTGCATGGAGTATTGCTGCCATATATGGTCTGGCGCCCTTCTGTTTGCCTCAGGGTTCTTGATAGGCTCCAGAGGCGGATATGTAATATGGTTGGCCCTACCCTGGCGTCTCGTCTACAGTCACTTTCTCACAGACGCACCGTCGCCTCCCTCTGTCTGTTCTACAAATACTTTCATGGAAATTGCTCCGAGGAGCTGCATTCGCTGGTTCCCAAACTTCATGAGTTCAAGCGCCCTACGAGGCTGGCATCCTGCTCTCACCCCTTCACTGTCGAAACTCATAAATGTAGCCGTCTCTTCTACTCTAATAGCTTCATGTCTCGCACCTCTCGCCTGTGGAACTCTCTTCCCTTCTCCTGTTTCCCTGAGAGTTATAATCTCCAGCTATTCAGTGTAATGTCAATCGACATCTCCAGTTGCCTTAATCTATCTACTACCCTCATCCTTTCTTCTATCACCCTATCTGATCTTCCCTATTTTCTGTAACCCCCTTATGTCCTAGTGGCTCCCCGCCTTGCTTGGGGTGAAATGCTTAAAAAAAAAAAAAAAAAAAAATGGTTTCTATTTGCCGTGGTTATCGTAGACTTTACAAATATTTGGTGACAGTCTCGGAATAAATTTACTAATCTTATTTTGAAGCTAGTATTTAATTTTCTGTGATTGAGTAGAGGAAAGGAATCGACCATATTCTGAATCCTCGAGTCATTACGAACGATCCTTTCCTTTTCTCCCTGTACCTCATTTCCTATAACTGATCCATATACTGAGGTATGTCAAGTATTTACTATTTACTAATACTCCATCCTGTTATATGCTTATATATATATATGTGTGTGTGTGTGTGTGTGTGTGTGTGTGTGTGTGTGTGTGTGTGTGTGTGCAAGTGTGTTTTATTTTTATATATATATGTGTGTGTTTTTACTCTCTCTCTCTCTCTCTCTTTTCTCTCTTTCTATATATATATATATATATATATATATATATATATATATATTATAAATTAATTGATTTAAAATATGGTTTTTTTTCGCTACACAGTTCCAACCATGTTTCAAAAATAGAAGCTAATGCTCTGTAAATTTACATTGAGCACTATTTTGTAAAAATAAAATATCTATAAGAACACCGGATTTTATATCTTACTGTTCTTTTTTTTTTTATATATATATATATATATATATATATATATATATATATATATTTTACTTATATATATGTATCCTTTATATCCGTTATATACAGAGATTTCCTTCTCCTAGAGTGGTTGCCACCCAAGGCTATGGAACCCACTCTGTCCTAATATTTACCCATAGCTTGAGGAAAAGTGTTAGATTCATACCTTTCCCAAGTACGTAAAGGAATGCAATAAACAAGACTGGAATTCAAACTCAGCTCTCCGATTCTTCAACCAATTACTCCGCCTTGTCTGTTAGAGCAGAGTTGATGTAAAAACTGTCCTTAAATAAAGTTAACTGAAACTGCCCAATCCTCTCTTTGTAGGTCTGACGGAATTCAAAAGCGTTTACGCCGCCTTGTAGGCGATGGATTATATTTCTACCCAACAACCCCATTTCCACAGAGACAATGTTGCAAGCCTATCGCTACTCTATCCGTGAAAAATGTTCTGACAGTCTATATATTTCCTCATTGCCTTAGTTCCGACTATTACAGCTAAGACACGTCATCCCATGTACCCAGGGGCGAACTTTCCTCATTCGCTTCTGCATTCTACATTGGTAAGAATGCAATGACATTCGGACATCTTCCTCCCAAGGGCCGCTACTTTGTTGAACACAACTCCCGAGATGATGCTTCTCCAACGATTACAATGTTAACCTCTTCGAGGGTCAGCTGTTATCTATCCCAGATATCCTCAAAATCTTCACTTTTTCTTTCTTTTTTTTCAGTCTAAACTGTTAAATGTAGCCGTCTCTTCTACTCCAAGAGCTTCACGTCTCGCACCTCTCGCCTGTGGAACTCCCTCCCTTGATGCCTTGATCTATCCCCTATCCTTTTCTTTATCCTTTCCTCTATCACTTCTATTTGCTCTCGCTCCAATTCTCTGTAACCCTTTGCGTGCTAGTGGCTTCCCGCCTTGCTTGGGGTGAAACGCTTAAAAAAAATTCTTTGCCTTCAGTGTTTATCGAACCTTGTATTGAGTGATTTTTTTTTTAAATCTTATTTCTGTGTTTCGCTTTAACAACGAAGATTTACCTGCGAATGACTGCGTTAAGGGCACATAGAAAAAAAACAGCCGTAAAAAAAGTGGAAACAAATCAGCCCAGGACTCCATTAGCTAAAAGCGTTTATGCATTTGATTTCATGCAATAGGGAATGAATGGACGAGGCACAGTATGGAATAACGAATAAGTAAGTAAAGGCAAGAAGAAGAAGAAGTTTTTTTTTCTTTCTTTCGATCTATCATTTTCAGTCTGTTCATACATGACGGGTGTAACAGCAAAATTGTCCAAATCGTGTAAAAGCAAAATTGTCCATTTGTTAGATTAAGATTTGAACCGTTGTCGCTTAGAAATGATTAAAGCTATCTTACTGGAATTCACCGAGGTTATTATAGCAGTATTCGACTCTACTTTGAACAACAAGAATGTATAATTACTCTCCAAGCTTAACAGAAGAATCGACATGGAATCAATCATAAACGAAAATGACATGTTCATCATTAATCATAGCAAAGGATCAGAAGCTCCTGAAGGATTGAAATAAAGTTCAAATATATATATATATATATATATATATATATATAAGTGAACACAGAACTCAACACTTAGAGGCGACAGTCTGTTTCATGTTAGATGCAATCGTCAGGCCACGAGATCGGTTATTTTTCTCGGCTGTTTATATATACGGATCAGTGGTGCATTGTGGATAGTCTATCTTGGCGGTTATTCTATGTTCACTTTTATATTTACACACGCTCTATCACTGATATTGAGCACTTTATCCCATAAATATTGTTAGACATTTCCATGACGGTCGTCCTTGAGTATTGAATCTAGAGGTTGGCAGTGAATATTTCGGAGACAGTAGGAAAGCGTACTTTAGGTTCGCAGTGGATATCACAGCAGAGTGTAGTTCATCCTTCTCCTGGTCGACTTTGGTCCTTCCAGTAGGAGGAAACAAGATGGCCGCCTTTATACACGATGAATACAGTGTTGGGCGGCTTCTGATTGGTCAACCTTCTATTGGTCGACTATAAAGGGAAATAAGTCATTCTGACTCGCTCACTAGTTACAGGTAGTATATACCCAAAAAACCGTAACAAATATAACATATCTTAAGACTATATTTCTTTATATATATATATATTTATATATATATATATATATATATATATATATATATATATATATATATATAAAGGCTTAAACATTAATATTCCATGTTTATAATTTATTACATTGGAATCGTAATCACATGAATAGGATCGTAATTACGATTCCAATGTAATAAATTATAACCAAGGAATATTAGTGTTTGAGCCTTTTATATTATATTCTTACTCTGTCCTGGACATTGAGTTCTACCTGGATTCTATCATAGTGGAAATTTTTGCATGTGTGTATACACACACACACACACACACATATAGATAGATAGATAGATAGATAGATAGATAGATAGATAGATAGATAATATTAAATCAAATATATATATATATATATATGTGTGTGTGTGTGTGTGTGTGTGTGTGTCTCTGTGTGTGTGTGTGTGCGTGTGTTATTTTTAACTTATTAAAAATGATCTTCGCCTTCTCTAACCTTCTAACTTTCTATTGTGGAGTAAGAAGTTACTTCGCAGTTTTCAAGCTCGATTTCATTTTAAAGTCTTTTTTCATTGCTCTTTGGACTGTCATAGCTGAAACTCATCTTACGTGACAAACGTCTTTTGGATTTAGTTGTATTTTCTTCTAATTGTTATCTTTAACTCTAAGTTGAGATGATGAGCCTTCTTGCTGTCGTTCCCTCTTATTAACTAGTAAACCTATTCACCGTTCTCTTGATGGTTCTTGAAAGGAAGCCAGTGTATGAATGTTGGTAGCCTTACTGAAGGCCTAAATGATTTTTTTCCTCTCACCATTGCTTAATTGAGAAGACAGTGAGGCTGACAGAAAACGATTTTAATCTGTTCCTTTTCTCGCTTAATAACTCAAATAGTTTTTCAGTGATTCTTACGACAAGTGTCAAGATGGCTAAACGCCTTATGTGAAAACCTGTAAAAAAAGAGACTCAATTAGGTCAGTGTTTTTTTTTAGATATTAAACATTTTGCAGATGGATAATTATTCTGTTACACGATTTGGAAAATTTTGCTGTTGCTCCGGGTATATATATATATATATATATATATATATATATATGTATATATATGTATGTATGTATAAATATATATATATATGTGTGTGTTTCAATCTCCTCATATCTATGTGTTTTACGCTTTTTATATCTATATGTCTCAGTGTCTTCATATCTATCTACATATTTATCTATGAATTTCATGAATTTTCTATCAGTCCTTATCTATCTCAGACTGTTTATATCTATGTCTATTCATATATATCTATTCCTCTATCTCAGTTCATATCTATCTATCTAGCTATCTATCTATCTATATATGTATATATATATATATATATATATATATATCTGCCAGTTTATGTTCATATCTATCACTTTCAGTCTATTCACTTCTATTTTAGTCCGTATCTATCTATGAATCTATCTATCAGTTTCTTTTCATATCTATCATTTTCAGTCTATTCATATGTATATATCTCCGTCTATCTATCCATCTCTCTCTCTCTATATATATATATATATATATATATATATATATATATATATATCTGTCAGTTTCTGTTCAGATCTATCTATCACATTCAGTGTATTCATATCTATCAATGTATCTATCTATCTATCTATCTATCTATCTATCTGACAGTTTCTGTTCATATCTATCTATATTTCAGTCTATTCACTTCTATTTTAGTCCATATCTATCTAAGAATCTACCTGTCAGTTTCTTTTCATATCTATCTCTTCATATCTATTTACCTGGGTACCTATCTATTTATCTATCAGTTTCTTTTCATATCTATCATTTTCAGTCTATTCATATCTATATATCTCAGTCTATCCATCTCTCTCTCTTTCTCTCTCTCTCTCTCTATATATATATATATATATATATATATATATATATGTATATATATATATCTGTCAGTTTATGTTCATATCTATCTATCACATTCAGTGTATTCATATCTATCTATCTATCTATCTATCTATCTATCTCAGTTCGTATCAATGTCTATACTGCGCTAATGAACCAACCCAGCCGCTTAACTATTGAGCATGGTCATATATCCGTTGGTATTTTCAGTGACTTTCAAACTCACTAGAGTAAGATCGTCCTAGAAGCCTCGCTCCCTAATCGATACACCACAAAGATGCACCTAACTCAACAATTTCGTATCGGAACGTATATTTGTTCAAATGTACACAGAAAGCAAAATCGCTGTCAAGACATAATCGGAATTAAGCAGACCCGCGATTTGGCTGAATTTTTCATATTGCCTCGAAACAAATTATTTAATTTCCCAAAAAAAAATTCGCAGTTCACGAAAAGACCAAACAAAAGAAAGCAAAAACAGGAGCTCCATAATTCTCCAATCTACAATATACGGATATTCTTTCTACCTACCTATCAGCATTAGAAACGTTAGCCTTCTACAGGACTCAAATACTAATGTAACTGTTGAATGATACTGAACTACTTCAGACGGACGGATGTAAGTTATATATATATATATATATATATATATATATATATATATATATGCTGTGGCCTGTTAGGGGCCAGAAAGAAAAAACACGGAAGGCGAAGGTAGGTTGAACAAGTGTATTGAAATAACAGATACAAAGTAAGAGGGTTATTAGTCAGCAGTTAGAAATGTCCGCCTGAACGGTCAGGTTACACTGCGTTTCGGCTGACGATATTTAACAGACCCCCTACGAGGAATATGTGTGGAACAAGGCCGACTTTAACGTAGGTTTCTCCGAGCCCGTAGGCTCGGCCAAAAAATATTCCCTTAGAACGTGCACAGGCGGGTTCGGGATCTGTCTACCTTTCCGGACGAAACTTTGCCCTTCGGCAAAGCTTCATCCGGGTTCCTCTCTGTCAAAGCAGAGAGTTCGACAGAAGTCGCACACAGTCAGAGACTGCGGGTCGACTGCTATATTTAACAGTCCCCCAACAAGGAATGTATGTGGCACAAGGCCGCGTTTAACGTGGGTTTCTCCGAGCCCGTAGGCTCGGCCAAAAATATTTCCTTTGAACCCGCCTAGACGGATTCAGGGACTGTCTTCCTCCCCGAACGAAACTTTTCCCTTCGGCAAAGCCTCGTCCGGGTTCCTCTCTGCCAAAGCAGAGAGTTCGACAGAAGTCGCACACAGTCGGAGACTGCGTCCCGACTGCTTAAACGAAGTCAAGCATGTTAGTATTTATGAAAGGAAGTGGGTTACTACAACAATATATATATATATGTGTGTGTGTGTGTGTGTATCAATATATATATATATATATATATGTACAAATATATATATATGTTTATATATATGTATAAATATATATAAATATATATAATTATTATATATAAATAAATATATAGATATATGTAAATATATATATGTATATAAATATGTGTGTGTGTAAATACATATATATATATACAGGAGTTGGACAAAATAATTGGAACACTTGTTAAATTAAAAGAAAATTTATTTAATATGAAGTTGGTCCTCCTTTAGCCTCACAGACAGCTTTAATACGTCTAGGAATGGAATCATACAGCTTCCTGACTTCATCCAGAGGAATTTTCAGTCATTCTTCCATTAACACCTGTTCCAGCTCTTTACGACACGACGTTGGAGGATAGCGGCTCCTAAATTGTTGCTCCAAAATGCATTACAAATGTTCAATAATATTGATATCTTGAGATTAGGGAGGCCACTCCATGTGTTCTAGCTCACTTTCATACTCTCCATACCAATTCTTAACCACTCGAGCAGTATGTATTGGAACATTATCGTCTTCGAAGATACAGTCACTATCAGGGAATAAAGCCTTGGCCATTGGATGAACATGATCTCCCAAAATGTTCAGGTAATCTTTGCTGTTGATTCTACCATACAGGGCAACTATTGGACTGAGACATTTCCATGATATGGCTGCCCAAACTATCACTGATCCACCTCCATGCTTCACTGTTGAAAGAAGGCAGTCAGGATTGTAAGCTTCTTTGGGCTGCCTCGACACATAAACTCGCCCTGAAGTTGGGAAAAGAGAAAAAACTGGACTTGTTTGAGAATATGACTTGCTTCCATTGGTCTGCAGACTCTGATCTCAGCACCACTTCAACCTCTTTTGAATGTTGCGATTTGAGTTGAGAGAAGAGGTTTCCTCACAGCGGTTCTTCCATGATATGCAGCCTTATGGAGCTCACGGTGAACAGTTTTAGTAGAAACTGAACTATTCAGATGGTTATTCAACTCAGCAGTCACTTTGGCCGCATTTGTCCGATGATTTTTTGCCACATTGCGTTTCAATGCACGTCAGTCCCTGTCAGTAAGTTTGCAAGTCCAGCCCGAATTGCTACGGTTGCTAGAGGTCTTGCCCTGTTTCTCGAATCGCACCAGTGTTCTTGATATGGAAGCTCAAATAAGACAAAGACAGTAAATTAGATAAATAAACGTATTTGCAATAGATATAACCTGCAATTACGAAGTTTTAGTTAAAGTTCTTAATATGATAAGTCTTTAAAATATAGGAGTGCATTTTGCATCTGTTCCAATTATTTTGTCCAACCCCTGAATGTACAAATATATACATCTCCTATATATATATATATATATATAAATATATATATATATATATATATATATATATATATATATATATATATATATATATATATAATATATATATATATATATCTGTGTGTATAAATATATATATATGTACAAATATATATATATATATATATATATATAATATATATATATATATATATATATATATATATATATATATATATATATATGAAAATTTCTCACAGTTAACCTGTAGAAATAAACAATATTTATACATGTAAAAGACAATAGAAAAATTGCGTTTCGTCCAATGTGGACTTTTTCAAGGCAAAAAACGAGACATAAATTTATTTAAACAAAGTAACTAATAATAAAAACAAAATGTCCTTAGCAACTGGAAGAATTTAGAGAACGCTATTTTCATACTGTTAACTGAAAATTACGTCAATTACTGCCACGTATGGAGATATTGTTTTTATTGTTGTGTTGATGGATTCAACCATTTTCTTTTGATTTCTTGATACTGTTGTGCACTTTTGCTTGGAAGAGTAGTAATTCTGTTAGGAAAGGTGAAATAGGGAAAAGGCCTGAGTGTAGATTAATATTTGGATAATATTCAATGGTTGCACTCTCGTGGATTTTTCTTCTCAGTGAGTTATTTATGAGTGTAGCATTTTTAAAATCAAAATTGTGATTGAATTTCTTTCTATGTATGACTAGTACATTGGCTAAGTTGTTTTTTGTGAGGTCTCTTTTGTGTTCATAAATGCGTGGTTTTTTTTTAAATTTAGAATTCCTACAAGGATTCATCATTGGAGATCACAGGGTTAACAACATTATATATTGAAACAATAGAAATGTGGTTTTACATAAGGATGGACTGAATATGTGGGCAATGATGAAGTTTTATAGAAAATGGAAACAAAAGGGACACTTATATTTAAAATCAAAAAGAGAGAGGGAGCGGGAGATGCATATATATGTATATAATATATTTAAATATATATATATATTTATATTTACATTTAAAACCTCTAACCTTATACTTAAAAATAATAATCTACCTCCTAGAACAAAATTAAATAGGCCAAATATTATTTACGAATTTAAATGCCCATTAAGAAATTGTATTCCTGATCAATCAAAATTCGTAAATAATTCACTACAACATGTTCGACACGCAGACTCACTCTACACCTTTCTGAACATAGCTCAATTAGATCTCATTTAAACATTCATGGAGACCTACCGGACACTATTCGTAACATACTTGTTGACAACACTAATGTAATAGCAGCATCTACATGCAAAAAGGCTAAAAATAATGGAAGCCTTATTAATAAAAACAAACAAACCAACACTTAATAATATTAACTTTGAACATGGACATAATATCTTGACCGTGTTTTGAAAAAATGAAAACATTTCATAAAACATATACATAACAAACTAATTCTTATTTTAATAGTTAAAATATAATCCTTGAAAATGTATAGCCGAAAGTGCTCGGATAAAAGGAACATTCGGACAGTTTTTACATAATTTATCATCCGAAAAGAAAAAAAATTATTAGATCGCATGAGAAATTATATTAAAAACCTAAATAAAAGCACCTTGTCTGTCGTTTTCAATGGATTATGTATGAAAGAAGGATTTCTGCCTAATAAAATATATATATATATATATATATATATATATATATATATATATATGCAGATGACACAGGGTTGATAGCAGACATGGAAAGGACAATACAAAAACTCCTGCAGAAGGTAGAAAAAGAAATCAAGGGTAAGAAGACAGAATGAATGGTCGTCAATAAAAAAAAAAGGAACAACCAAAATTTAATTTACAAATTGGCGATGCCAAAATCAAGCAAGTACAAAAATTTAAATATCTAAGAAGTGTTTTAACAGAGGACAGAAAATGCAACATCGAAATCAAAAGGCGCATTTGGCTAAGGAAAGAAACCTTCCAAAAGCTAAGCAAAATAATCTCGTTGGAAACAAAGAAAAGACTGCTTAACTGTTATACAATACCAGTCCTCCTCCTTGGCAGTGAATGCTAAACAATTTCCACACAGATGAAGAGGATACTTGAAGCAACAGAAATGTGGTTCTACAGAAAGATACTGAGAATACCATGGATTGAACATGTGACAAATGACGAAGTTTTCGCGAAAATAGACCCAAAAAGAAAAGTTTTACATAAAAGCAGAAAGGGACAGCCAAACTTTCTAGGGGTACGTAATGTGGAAAGAAGGCTTAGAAAATTTGAAACTCACAGGATATATTAAAGGCAATCGGGACTGAGAAAAACAGCACATTATCTACCTAACGAGCTTTTCAAAAGGTTGTCAGAAGAGTATTAGGAGAGATGGCGCAAGGACAACATTTACTAAGACCTCGAAAGGACAGGAAATTGTGAAGATCTATGTTCACCCACGTACTGAAGGGAGACATTACATAGAAGATGAAGAAGAAGATGTCTATTACACTGTTCACCTTTGCCTCCTCAGGATGTTGGTCGGGCCCATCTCCTCTCCCCACGTTTTTTGTTAACTAGGAGGATAGAATCGGCTCTGTTACCCAAGTTGTCAACAAATCTAGAAGAAGGGCTACTCAGAATTCAAAGAGAAGACACTTCACTTTCTTTCACAGGAAGTTATACCAGTCGACTGATAATAACGAAATGGATCTTACATCCCGACGGAGCCTAACATTTTTAAAATGTATCTTCCTTAAGTTTTAACACAGGTTACTCTCACTTACAAATTATCGTTGGCAAATATCAGTCTACGATACATTATTCCACGCCACTTGTATCTGTTAATGAAATTCGGCGAGAATAAAAAGGGAGGAAACTGAACCCATTCATGTTCCACATATATTTAATGAGGGACAAGTAATCGTTTCTGTCCGTAAATTCCCCCCCAGCTTCCCTATTAGTTTTCTTTTATATCTTATCTCTGTTTTTTCTTTCCCTTTAAATAGATCAAATCTATTGCACTCGACCTTTATTCTTATGTATCTTAATAAAGATAGATTTAAACATATTTCTATCTGTCCTTTCCCTCTCTAATTTCTGTCATATATGTCATCCTCCTTACATCAACTTAAAACTACCCCCTCAAAAACTTGTATAAAAATAATAATATGGAAATTTTTAAACCATTTTCTTTTATGCTTGGAAATGTGATCTAAGGAACCAGAAAAAAACACTTTCCTGGGGAAATAAAATATAATCAATGGGCTCTTAAGTTTTTTTTTTTTTTTTAATTAAACTAATATTCGCTCTGTTTTTACATTGAGCTCTCTGGATTACAGGATCCCTCTCCACTCCAGCTTCCCCATTTGTTTTCTTTTATCTTATCTCTGTCATTTTTCTTTCCCTTTTCCTGTGAATGGACTTATTAAAAATGTCAAATCAATGGACCGTTAAGGTTGTCTGTTAAACTTACATATCGTCATAAACAATTTCAAAGAAAATCTCTAGTACTTTTTACCAATCTTCACACAAAACTCGATCGTAATACGTTGCTCTAAATCCCATTTATTCATTTTATGCACACATCATAACATGAACACATACAACTTCCTCTGCTGCTTGCCAATGAATGACACATCTGCTTATCAAGGGAGCCGAAGTAGGGGATCAGCACATTGTCAAATACACATGTTTGCTTTATTCCAGTAGCACGCTGTGGTCAGTCCGGGAATTAAATTATCAGATCTCTTAGACACACACACACACATATATATATATATATATATCTGTGTGTGTGTGTGTGTGTTAAGATCCCCTTTATTCATTTTCTGCACACATCATAACATGAACACATACAACTTCCTCTACTGCTTGCCAATAAATGACACATCTGCTCATCAAGTAGGGGATCAGCACATGGTCATTTACACATATTTGCTTTATTCCAGTGGCGCGTTGTGGTCAGTCCGGGAATTAAATTGTCAGATCTCGTACACACGCACACACACACACACACACGCACATATATGTGTATATGTGTGTGTGTGTCCGCAGTAATTGCACAATAAAAAGATAACACTTTGACCTAGTTTACCCCATCTTCATCAAAGTAAGATCTATATGAATGTATGTAATGATATCACAAACAATGCTACTCATAAATTGTAGAGACAAATATCCGTACTACTTTTGTTTCGTCCATGGCATTTCGATTCACCAAAGTTGTAGATGGCACCTTTTATCCACTAGGCTTCGCTTGGTGTAAAGATAAATTCAGAATGATGAAGAATGATATCAGCATTCTCCTGAGTTTGGAAGAATCGATCTCTATTCCTGCTTTAATAATCAATATTTAAATGTTAGGACCGAACCTCACCAACTCGACCACCGGGATAAGAAACAATTATCTTAACTATGCCTTTAAATTCCTTAAGAAATCCACGGCCACAAGATATCTTTGTGTTTTCTGTAACAAGCCAGTTTTTAAGTAAGTAGGTTGTTAGCCTATTGAACAATCCCCAACCAGGAGGATCAGGTTTTGAATTCACAATTTCCACCCAGATCTATAGAACCCGGTCTGTCCTGCTATTTACTCATAGTTGCGGAGGGGGGAGGATTCATATATTTCCCAATAGTATTAGCACGTAAATGAATGTAATGTATTCGACTGGAATTCGAACCCGGCACTCCAATTCCTCAGTCCGAGCCAATATCCATTACCCCATCGTAACAAATCAACACATGGCATCAAGGTCGCAAACAGCCCTCTGGAGGTTTTGAATTCACAGTTGTCGTTCTCTTAAACTAGTTGCCAACCAAGGCTATAGAACCGATCTGTCCTGCTATTTACTCATAGTTGGGGCGGGGAAAGAGGATTCATATCTTTCCCAATAGTATTAGCACGTAAGTGAATGTAATGGATTCGACTGGAATTCGAACTCGGCTCTCCGATTCCTCAATCCGAACCGCTATCATTACTCCACCGTGCCTCCGTACTTACAAATAGACAGCTGAAACCTCTGGAACTCATAATGTGGGAAGATGGCGTAGAGATTTTGAAACTCCTAGGAAATATTGAAGGCAAGAGAGACAGATGGAAACATCGAGTAACCGACCTAAGAAGCTTATAAAAATTGATGACAGAACAGGAGGGAGTTTTTAAGAGAGTAGTTTGTTAGCCTACTGCAGAATCCCCAACCTGGAGGATCAAGTTTTGAATGCGGTATTGTTGTTCTAGGCAAGTTGCCACCCAAGGCTATAGAAATCAGTCTGTTCTGCTATTTGCTATAGCCGGGGGCCTGAAGCAAAATTTCCGTGATTCATAGAATAGAGGTAAGGCCACATCCGATTCTTTAAAAGCAGCTAACTGGGTGGAGTAAAGCTGCCCCAAGAGAAATTCTATTTCGACGATCTTGGACGGGTTTTAGCACGTAAATGAATGTAATGTATTCGACTGGAATTCGAACTCGGCTCCGCATTTCCTTAATCTGAGGCGCTATCCATTACTCCACCGTGCTTCCTTTATAATAATTAGAAAATATTTAAACGCTTCACTTAAAGATGAGTTGGCAATCTCGTCTAGCCGACTAATTTTCTAGTGGAAAAACATCGATCCTCACTGGGGGATTCGTATTTTTGGCATTGTTCCAAAATAAACGAAGCTTAATATATATGTTTCGGTATGATTAGGAGTTTAAACAGCGTTTATAGACTTTACGAACGTGTAATCGGAAGATCTGTAATTAAATCTGTTTCTGAGTTGTTCCATACTTCCGTGTCAATGCGCATGCGTAGCTCACACCGGAAATGAATCGGCGATTCGCAGGTTATTAATAAATAAAAGTGAATGTCAGATTTACTGTCGATTTGCACCATGATTTATGACAAATTGTCCACCCGAAGAAATGGCGTCAGCAGGTCAGGATTGTTAAATGGAAGGTGGCTTTTTTTGTGGGGGGTGGGGTGAGCAGAATAAAAATGAGTAATTATACAAAAAAATTTTTCATCTTTTTTTTTTTTTTTTTTTTTTTTTTTTTTTTTTTTTTGACTTTTTTAAATCCGGGCGTCAGAAATTCCAGGTGGGGAAAAACATGACGTTTCATTTTCTCATTTGCTTTATGCGCATGCGCGTCTGTGTAGAAATATATATATATGTTGTGACTCGGTAATTTATTAGAATGAGTCATAAAAAATTACCGTTTTTTTTTTTGGTGGGGGGGTTGCTGCTTTATCAACTTTATTATCCGAAAAATAAGCACAATTACATTTTATTTAATTCCATATTCTCTATTATTTCCAATGACTTGTTCCTAATTACCATTCAATGCTTTTCTGGCTAAAATTCCGCAGGTTTTGATGCGAAAAGTCCCCCATCCAAACAGCAAAACATGTCGTAAGGCCATATCACGTTGAAACACCCGTTCCCGTATGATCACCGAAGTTAAGCAACATAGACCCTGGCCAATACCTAGTTGGGTGACTGCTTCTGAATACTAGATGTGTGGTTGATGGAATGAATAATGGCTCAGAATTGTTAATCAAAGAGCGGTGTTCCAATTCCCATTGAGTTCGTTATGTTCTAGCACGCACAAATATTATTGAGAAATGTATGCATCGACGTCTTCTCTCTCCAGTTATGGGTTAATTAGTAAGGCTTGTATCACTAAACCATTATTATCTTTAAAAAAATCTAAAAATACATTCTGGTTTTAAATAACCTGTAAAGGGTTGATAAGCCGTAAAAACAGTTTAATCAACAAAAAAATAGCAAAATGCGATGAAAGTAATAATTTATGTTCACTATTTCAGTTGGATCTATGGGTCGTGTCCTTACAGGACGTTGATGATCAGAGCTCTCCACAATTTTCTGTCCTTTATAGCTTTTGGCGTCTATGCTATATCACCCAAAACCTGTTTCGTTATCTGTTCGCTCAAGCTCCCTAGATAGGGTGTGTGTTGCTTTCCTCTGTCCCTCTTATCTTCAATATGTCGACCCACAATCGCTAAGTTCTGGTAAATCCAAAAGCGGTCTAGACCATGGTTAAATAAAACAAATTCGAACCCTAGTATTCTGGAAGATTACCGTCCAAATTATAAATTCAGTCAGTTATATGCCATGCGTGATACACGCTTAGGTGAGCGTGTATGACGAGGCAGTATGTTTGCATTTCTTTCTGCGGTAGTCCAGTTGCTATCTAAGGCTATAGAACCCGGAGTGCCCTGATATTTACCCATAGCAGGAAGAGGATTCATACCTTTCCCAAGGGTATTAGCACGTAAGTGAATATAATGGATTCGACTGGAATTCGAACTCGGCTCTCCGATTCCTCAATCCGAGCCGCTATCCGTTACTCCTCTTACTATTCTATACTGCCCACTATTATAAATATTATAAATGATCTTGAGGTTATATCTTCTTTAAATGATAAGGCAAAGCTCTTCGTCTTGATATCTATCTCGAATTGAACGTTAGATGACAAAAGGCCCCCTATTTTCTGAACTGAGCATAATCTCAGTAACTTATTCTGTCCCAAGAAATTTGACATCATTTTAAAAGCAATTATTTTGAAAACTATTAAGTCTAGCTCAATGAAATTGAACAGTTTAGATGTTGAACATCATAAGTTTATTATGGGACCGATTTCATAATTGTTCAATATGTGCAGCGCCTGTGACACGGCGCTCGTCATGTCGGTAGTTAACCTTTTGCCAAACACGCTGTAGCATGTGTCCGGTAACATTATCCAGTGCGAAAGTGATTCTCTGCTTGAGCTCATAAATGCCACCTGGAAGACGGTAGACATAGACCAATCCCTTCACATATCCCCATAAAAAGAAATCATACGGTGATAGGTCCGGTGACCGCGGCGGCCATTTAATCAGAAAACTGTCTTCTTAATTACCACACCCGATTCGTCTTTCTGGCAGATTCTCATTGAGATAACAAAAATAAAATAAAAAATCTTGAACTGTTTCTATGCAGTCTGTGAAAATTTGAGGTTATTTCAACAAGAATTGCTAAAATTATTGACCTGCGAAATTGTCAAATTTTTGGGGACACCCTGTATTTTTGTTACAGTAAAGGATATCTCAAGACTTATCAAGCCTCTAGATCCTTTCTATGTCTGATATCAACAATGTGCCAATAGATGTTGATAATATCAATGGCAGAACAAATGAACATTGAGGAAGTTTTTTTTTTATTTAGCCCTGAGCAAGGCCTTAATACCACCAATATGTAAGGGGTTACTGGAAGTGAAAGAAAAAGAGAAAGATTTAGGAAATAAAAGAACGGATTTTCTCAAGAAGGCGGAAGATGGCGATAGAGGTTGCATTTCAACTTTTGAAGAGTGTCAGTGGCAGTGAAGCAAGAAATTGAAAGTGAGTTCAACAGGCGAAAGGTGCGAGAAAAGAAACTATTACAATAGAATTATATATAGCTAGTTCAACGGTAACACTTTGAGACCTAATTGCGAATCTAGTAGTATGCTTGAATTCATGTGGTCGAGGAATAACTGCAATGAAAATATTTATAGAAAAGGTAGAGGGAAGCTACGTCACGTTAGTGAGAAAGTGACTGATACCGAGATGCCAGACCAGGACCAATAATATTGCAGGCCCTTTTTCTGATTTTGTCGAGAATATTGAGATAAGTATCCGGAGTACGAAACCTGATATGGAAATAGTATTAAATGCACAGATGAATGGCAAAATTATAAATATGCAAGATAGATTCTGACTGGAGAAAATATCTGGCTTGACACATTGGGCGTGGTTGGCAGTAGACCCAGCAATTGGTTCACTACAATCGTTCCACATCATATCAGTAGAAAACGCGGACCTAAGAAGAGGAAGTTAGCATCAGCCATGCAGATGAAGGACAAAAATGGTTCTCTATGATGATGATGTATCTCGTGTTTTCGAGATAAAAGAGGGAAATAAAGAAAGAAAAAAAAACTCGTAGGTAAGTAATGAAACAGAAGCTTTACTACATCGAAGGTACACTTAGCAGTTGATCTAAGGCTAACTTGATATATACCCGAGCTCCCCACAGAGCGAGATGTGGCACAAGGCTGGTTTAATGTGGGTTTTTCCGAGCTCGTTGACTCGAGCAACTATTTCCTGTAGACTCCGTAATAACGTGGTCGGGTTTATCTAACTCCCCAGACGAAACTATGTCCTTCGGCATAGCTTCGTCTAGGTTCGTCTCTGCCTTAAGGCAGAGAATTCGACAAACACTAAGAGCTTAGCGCTCGGCTAAGATCCAATGCTAACTTAGTATTTACACGAGCTCCCCACAGAGCGTGATGTGGAACAAGGTCTGTTTAACGTGGGTTTTCCGAGCCCGTATACCCGAGGAAATATTCCCTGTAGACCCCGAAATAATGGGGTCGCTTCAGTTTACCTCCCCAGACGAGACTCTGCCCTTCGGCATAACCTCATCTGGGTCACTCTCTGGGAGTTCGACAAGCACTAAGGACTTAGGGCGCGGCTAAGACCCAATGCTAATTCTCTTCAACTCCGCTTATTTACATAAACGGACGATTTCATTAAATTATGTCATATATGACAGATTTTTAAAGACAATAGGATCGCAAAGTCAGAAGTGGGCAGCTGAAATTTATGGGAGACATAAAATCTACCAGGTAACCTCTACTTTCATTCAGGAGACAGCTGAAATTTATGGGAGACATAAAGTCTACCAGGTAACCTCAACTTTCAGTCAGGAGACACCTGAAATTTATGGGACACATAATGAGAAAAGAAGAGTGTTTAACCTGCACACGATATACATTGTCCAATGAGAAACTCCGCAGGACGACCACCCACCTCATGATTAAGCGCCATTTTTACTGGCTTGACCATGTCCTTGGAAGATCTGATGACTACCCTCTACCTGTTCGACCCACCATCTGCAAACTGGCAACGGCCAGGCAGCCTCTAGTAACAATTTGATGTAAGAGGACGTTTCCTACCTTCTGTTAAGACCCTTGAGCGCTGCAGAGACAAGGTGACCCCCGTGAGCTCAATGACGTCCTTGTATGAGATATTCAGCAGCAATATATGGGCTATACTGTATGAAAGATTGCAGAGAGAAACATCGAGTCATTTGCCTAATTATTTTTTCTATATGGGTCAAAGATGAAAGATAAAAAGCCAAACGTTGCTTAGAGCTACAAGAGACTGGAAGTAGTGAAGAGTCATAATCGTCTACGTTCTTAAGAAGCAGTTTACATGAAAAAAGGTTTGCTGCCAAATTTTACGAAGTACGAAAAATACGAGTTTTGTATGTATTCGACGAAAAACATTTTTGTGTGTATTAACAGATTCAGACAAAACTAATTTTGCAGGTTTGTAATTGTTTTTGACTTTCAATTCCGTAAATGCTCATTACAGCGTTTAGATGGGACGAGAATTCGGATCTATTGGGTCCTCAACTCAAGGAACAGAAGGCGAGGTTTTGGATTGCTTCATGTAATGAGATTGCATTTAGGGACACATTGAGGATTTGGTGGAAGGTAATGAAAGGTATGTTGGATATATGCAAAGCAAAGGCCGGAGGTGAGAAGCAACATCTGGACACAGAGAAAATGAAACAGAAAATAATTAATAATATAAAATGCTGGATGTCAAATTCTGAGAATTGTCCAAGATAGGAATCCCCTTCGGGAATTTGTGTTAGCCAGCATCGTCATTTTGGCAAGAATTTGGACAGTGAATTGAAAACGTAACAAAGGACATTTTGCAGAGATAGATAGATAGATAGATAGATAGATAGATAGATAGATAGATAGATAGATAGATAATGAAAATATTGAGATAGATAGATAGATAGATAGATAGATAGATAGATAGATAGATAGATAGGGTAATTATATGGGCTGAGAGAGATCTCAACAGGCTGAATGAGATATGAACAGGCTGATTATGCAGAGATATACGAAAAGGCTTAGAGAAATATATACATGTATTTGAACAGGGTTAGCTAGCTAACTAGCTAGCTAGCTAGATAGATAGATAGATAGATAGATAGATAGATAGATAGATTCAGTAAGTACCTGACTTCTCACGTTATCCCTTACTGTTATAAGAGCCAGATCAGACCGAAATTGGAAAACCGTTGCCAGATTTGGGCGGAAGCTGCCCAGTCCTCGCTTTCCAGTCATGATAGAGTTCAAAAGTATCTCCGATTTCTTGATGGAGAAGAATTATTTTCCACACTCCAAACTCTCTCTCTCTCTCTCTCTCTCTCTATCTATCTATCTATCTCTCTCTATCACACACACACACACACACACACTCACACACACACACACACCGACACACATACCGGGATGTGACGAGTCTCTCACTGCTTTATCTCTACAACCATGGAAAGTGCTCGGACGAACTAAATTCCTTGGTTCCACCAGGTCTAAATTTCACGAAAATGATTTTATCATCTATCTCGTCTATCATGCGAGTTCCTTTTTTGAGAGACCAAATTACAATAGACTAAC